TTCAAGACCAGGGCGTATAAATGTTTTGTAGATAACTTAAAGAACATGACGGAAAGTTTACAAAGGCCTCCCATTATTGGTCTTGAGTTTCCAGACAACCAGACAATGTCTATATAATAACTAAAACGCGGACGTAAGCCAATGGCCAATAGCGTGAGTACAAGGCCCCTAATAAGGCGTTCAATTTTTGACTCGCTGCCAGTTAGGTCATCGCTACTTTTCACAGATATGTAACGTTTTTTGTAACGTTGGGATTATGATAATGCTGGTCAATATTATTCTCTTCCAAATTTAAGGTCTTTGCTCACATGTGTACTTCAGATCGTTACAAACGATGATAAGTGCGCCTTATGGACCAGACACAGATTTTGGTCTTATCAGTCAGTCTTAATGTGAGGTCATCTGGAATGGCATCTCTATATGGGAGTGTCAAACTTGCCTAATGCCAGTGTAGATGTGGCGAATTCCAGTTCGTTCGTTGTCAGCTGGGACATGGCATTGTTACGACCGTATTATACATACTTGTTACTATATAACTGTATTGTCCTCATTAAAACGGTTTCCCCGTAACAATCGTACTTCAAGCCATGCCCCATTTGGTCGGTGGTGATTTGACAAACCACCAAGAACTTGATGAGACATGTTTTTCATGTCATAGGGTGACACTAGGCTGCACGTACCAACTTGGTAGATATTACATCAGCTATTACAACAGAAGAAAGTTTGATTTTACTTTTCCTTTCTGTAGGCATGGCAACGTCATTGGAGTGGCCAGACAATGACCAGCCAGCACACCCAGATCATTGATTAATAACGCAATCCTATCATGCCAGGTCAACTGTCTAAACTTGGCAATGATTCAGTGTGTAACAGTCCCATTCGTCCCAACTAGTACACATTACGATGAAGTCTAGCGACATGTACATTAACCACAATAGCTTTCTATATGTAGGTAACGCATGGAGTTAGACACGAGGGCATCATACTCTGCTAAAGATGAAATCGGTAGCAGCAAAATTATGCTAACTTTTGGCAGACCGTCAAGGGCGAGGTGGGAGCGGTGCCGCGCCTTTTTCACTTCGTTGGACAGGGGGATTGTACAATCGAGTAGTTTTAGACGTGGTG